TATAGTTGACTTCTTTCAAACGAATCTACATGGTTTTTCCCCTCTATTATACTTGTCCATCTTTGCTTCTCTGCAAAAGAGTTCAATTAGTTACTTCATCCGTCCCAACAGAAGAGTTATGGTTGATCATAGTACAACTTGTTAATTTCAAGAAGGCATTACTGCCAATGCCACATTTTCTTTCATTTTTTGATTAGTTTAGCTAAATTTATTGTATATAATTTCTGTGTGACTTGGATAATTAGTTCCATAGATCAAACTGGACTATTTTTGGGACGAAAGAAGCGTTTGAAACAAGACTCTTTGGTATAGAGAGAATTTGATTTTTTTATAAATATTTTAGAAATTTGTCATGTAATTACCTATTTACCGTTGTTATTATGATTTACCAAGACTTTTATTAAAGAGATTATTTTTGTGATTTAATACTATCTTCTGATCCATAAAAGTTGCAACAGTTTGACTTTCACGTTTGACAATGCGCAACTTTGACTGTATTATATTTATTTACGTATTAGTAAACATTAAAAAAAGTTAATATATTGGAAATTTACACTAATACAAATTTATTGATAGGGCCCTGGGCTGTAGAGAATAATAATAATAGTAGTAATAGATTGATATTAAATAAGTTTGGTATTGTATAAATAAGGATTCTGGGCCATGTCATAGAATATGGGCTGGCCCGTTAGGAGATAATTACTTTATAAGAGTGGGAAGGAAGGAAGGGAGGAGGGAGGCAGAAATTGGGATAGGCTTTGGCTTGGGAGAGGGGACTGCTCGAAGTGTCTCACTGTATCTTTCTTTTTCCGTCTATCAATTTCATCTAATATACTTCCGTTTACCGTCAAATTTCTGCGTATCTATCATTGGTATCAAAGCAGTAGGTCCTGGGAAGCTTCGATTGACATTCACGCAACAAAAAAAAAATATGGAGAATCGCACTTCTGGCTTGCGCGCAAATCTGGAGAATAGCACCTGGACGAAGATGGAAACGATGCTGGACGAGATGATACACCATTTGCGTAAACAGCGTCGCAGGAGAATTAGAGGCCGAGCGAGGAGTCCTCCTAGACGCCGTCGGCCAACTGAAAATCAGGTTTCTTCGACCGTTGCTCTTCCTAGTTTGCACACGCAACTGGCTCCTTCCAGTTCGCAGACGCGAACTTCGTCTCATAGTTCGCAGACGCGAACTTTGTCTCATAGTTCGCAATCGCGAACGGCTTTACCCAGTTCGCAGGCATCGTCTGTCAGTGCGCAGGTTTCTTCTAGATCGCGAGCAACTCCTTCCAGTTGTCTGGCTTCATCGCGAGCAGATACCATCAGTCGTCAGGCGTCGTCCTCAGCTGCTATCAATTCACATCAAGGTGTGACGAGATTGACGGGAAGTTTCAATTCGCAGGTTTCTTCTCAGCCACGAGCAACTTTCCTCAGTTCTCAGACTCCGCGAACAGATTCTCTCAGTTCGAGTCAAAGAACAAAGCCATCGAGAGAAGAGATTCTCAGTTTTCAGACCACAGCTAACCAATGTGAGGTATCTAGGAACCAAGGACATAGCCATGCCGGAAGAATGATAGACCTGTCGCTAGTCAATGGGGAGGATGCCAAGGGAAAATCAGGGGCTCTATCTGTTGGCATTTCTGGTGATTCTAGCAAAAGGGAAATGCATTCAGATTCCAGTATATATATAATAGACGAAGAAAATAAATCACCCTCAGGTCCATCAGTGGCACCAGCCAGTGAGGGCAGATCAAGGTCTTATAAAAGAGACAAAATTGAAAAGCAAAACCAAAACAATTCTTCTGCGGGGTTGGATAGTTTGAGCTATGATCAAGGTTATTATTCTGAACATCTGTTAGTAGCTAACATTGATGCTGCTGAAAAGAGATTGCTCAGTTCGCCTGTCACTGTAGAAGACTTGGAGGTACAGGGGTGTTCCCGTGTGGATAATAAACCCTCCTTTGGTGTTGGCGTGATATACTGGAATCCTCCTGAGAGTTCTGGGACCAGTCTTTTGCGTCCTCTTTCACTTCATTCAGATGACAGTCCTTGGGCGTGGCGAGTGGCAGATAAGAACAGGGTTGCGGATGACAGGGTTGCCCTCGTTTCCTCTTATAGTACATCCTTTTGCCCTTCCTTTGATCCTTTTGGCTCAGAAACTCATGGATATGCTATGTCAGGAAGTAAAGTTCATACTGGCAATGATGCACAATCATCAATTGTCACCTCAATAGATATATTGGGAAGAGAGAAGAATGTTGCAGCTTCCTTGTCCAATGTATCTGTTGATGATTCCAGAAGACAAAGAGTTCCAACGGTTCATGCTGGTAGTTCAAGTTTTAAGCCTGGGGGTATGAAGGGTTGTCTTCATGATGGAGTTAATTTTGAAGAAGCTGGGATACACTTGGAGGGCAATGACGTAGTCTGGCCACCATGGAGAATTAAAAGTGTTTCAGGACATCAAGTAACACATCCTCTGACTGGTGCATTAGTGCAAGACCACTTAATTGCAACTTATCAGACAATTCATGAGCAGGAGCACCCAGATACTTCAATTCCTCTACAACCATTTGAAATGCTGAAGAGTCCTTTAGAAAATGGATCTCTCGGTTTGATCCACATCAATCCTCATGAAGAAGTCAACACATTCTATCAACAGTTTGATGGTTGTGATATCTCATCTGAGGTGAAGATCACGTGCCCAGTTTTGTCACTTGGGTTGGCTATCGTATCGGAGGTGAAGAGCTTGAAGAGCATTAGTACTAGTGCGGCTACAACAGCTCTAGACTCTTCCACTAACTCTTTGAGTGTTGCTATTGGAAACGAATCTGGCTCAGAGAAAACAAGATTGCAATTGATCACTGAACCCAACACTGAAGTTTCCCTTCTCCCAAGTGGTGCTGGGTATCAATGCAAAGCTCTCTCTTCGCTTGTCAGTTCCCCAGTATGCAACTGGCAGGACATGGCGTCTGGATCCCAATGGGTTATGGGATTTGAAAGTCGCCAGGTTGCTGTACTTGATATTGGTTCACCCTCGGTTTTATTTCTAATGTACAGTCCCTCTAGCTCAAGATCTCTGGTCTTTTCTGCTAAGGCATCTTTGGGAGTTCATCAAAACACGGTAAAACCGGAAGGTGGAATCTCATATGAAACTAAGGAAGAACTTGCTTTGTGCTTACCCAAAGATGGACACATTATTTTAATAACTAGCAGCATTGGCAGTTTGATCCATTCGCAGCCAGTGCATCCAGAAAATGATGTTGAAAGAAAAGATCAAACAGCACCATCTGATCATGAGGAACAAAACACTTACAAAGATCCCAACAATCAGAGTGTTCTCCAGGCAAGCAAGCTCATGGTTCCGCCATCAGTTAGGTACTGGGAAGGAAGAGGTGCCCGGAGGAAGATGAAGTGGAAGATCAAGGCTGTCTCCGATCACCCACCTTGAGGACAAGGTGGTTGTGGAAGGGGGGGATATGATAGGGCCCTGGGCTGTAGAGAATAATAATAATAGTAGTAATAGATTGATATTAAATAAGTTTGGTATTGTATAAATAAGGATTCTGGGCCATGTCATAGAATATGGGCTGGCCCGTTAGGAGATAATTACTTTATAAGAGTGGGAAGGAAGGAAGGGAGGAGGGAGGCAGAAATTGGGATAGGCTTTGGCTTGGGAGAGGGGACTGCTCGAAGTGTCTCACTGTATCTTTCTTTTTCCGTCTATCAATTTCATCTAATATACTTCCGTTTACCGTCAAATTTCTGCGTATCTATCATTTATTAATATTTTATACATAATATTTTTATTATATATATTATTAGAAAATCGTAGTCAAAGTAAGATGTGTGAATAGTGCAGAAATTCCAATGTTGCAACTTTTATGGAACGGAGGAAGTACTTGATTTTGAAATTAAGATTTTTTTACCTTATCATGAAAGAATAAAACTTTCCATCATTTGCAATGGAGCCAAAGATTCATTATTTTTTGGCTTGAGATTATGATGGAATAAAGCAAAATGGCTCACTAAACTGTCTGCGCTTCTTTGTTATGAAGCAGCAGTCAGTCCATGCAATTTTGGACGGGATTTTCACTATGGGTCATCCGGAAACAGTCTCTCTGTGCTTTTAGTACAGGGGTAAGACTGCGTACATCCGACCCCCCCTTACCCCACCGTAGGTGGGAGCCTTTGCGGCACTGGGGTAAATGAAAATGAAAATGAAAATGATCATGAAAGAATAAAAGACAATGGTGAAAGCAAAGAACGCAAAAAGAGTTAAATGGTGTTCGTGGTCATAATTATTGAAGTAAGTTAAGTCATGTTATGTTAGATAAAATAGACCTCAGTAGAGTTCATTAAAGTAATCTAGAGCTCATTAGTCACTATAAAGTAGAGAATGGTAGAGTTCAGAAAAGAATAGAAAAGAAAAGTGAATTAAAGTCATAAATAAATTCAAGTTGAAGTTTTGTTTCAAGTTCAAGTGAAGTTAAAAGTAATAATCTATTCAAGTGAAGATCACCTTTCCTGTTCAAGTTTAAAGTTCTAGGTTTTATATTTAGCAGGAGCACAATTCACATGCTCTAGCTTAAGCTTATTGTTGAAATATAGAAGTATTCTAAATCTAGGCTAAGAAACCTTAGGGTTTCATCGCTATAGGAGTTTGGCCCATTGTGTTTCTATGTAATCATTGTAATAGGTTTAAGAAATTATGAAAATGTAACTTGAAAGTAATAATATCAATGAAAGTTAGTTTTTTTTATTTATTCCAGTCTGTCTGCTGTCTCTTATGTGTTCAGTAGTTGCAGAGGAAGCTGCAATGTGAGCTGAGTCTAATTGACTTGGTCGAACTCTTCTTAGACTCTGCTCCACTCGAGTCCTGGGTCACACACAGGGCAAATTCTGCTCATATTGTACGGTTCTGGCGCTGGTGACTTGAGGCTAGTTAAGTTTATAAATGTTCTTCCCATGTGTAATCATATATGATTATTCTCTTCTGGTAGGTGTATCTGAAAATGCTGTCTCAGGTCACATACAATTATTAATTCCTGGTGAAACTGCTTGCTTTGCTTGTGTGCCTCCGTTGGTAAGGTTCTGCACTGAATTTGTTTGGTTCAAGGTGGTCATTTATTATCTAGACATGTACAAGCTATAATTTTTTTCATCCGATCTTGCAATACACACAAAGTCTACCAAATTGATGGGGTCCAAGCCATTAAGGGTCTGTTTGGATGTAGGATTTTGAAAGGAAAGGATTGTGAAGCCTCAGTACATTTTGATACATATTTGAGATTTACAGATCTTGAAATAATAACATCATATGTGATTGTATAAAATTTCAATCACATTTTATTCATTTTAGAAACATCGTGATAAGAACACATTACAAGATCTAGTCCCAAGGACGTGCTAATTAGACAAAGTTTAAGTTTATTGCTAAATTAATTGGTGTCCAACTTGTTAAGACATGCAATTTAAGTCTCCAAAACAGTAATTTATCCATAACAAAAAAACCTATATAGAGGGTGCCAGATGAAATGAGATCGAGGTATGCCGACTAAACTCAAAGGTAAATTTTATCGTACAGCAATTAGGCCGGCATTAATGTATGGCGTAGAGTGTTGGGCGGTGAAGCAATGCCACATCCAAAAGATGAGTGTGACAGAGATGCGTATGTTGCGTTGGATGTGTGGACATACCAGAAAAGACCGCCTGAGTAATGAGGTAATCAGACAAAAGGTGGGAGTAGCACCAAGTCATCTAACAGGTGCATCACTCGGTCTTCTATGCACATGCACATGCCCAAATTAATTGGTGTCCAACTTGTTAAGACATGCAATTTAAGTCTCCAAAACAGTAATTTATCCATAACAAAAAAACCTATATAGAGGGTGCCGGATGAAATGAGATCGAGGTATGCCGACTAAACTCAAAGGTAAATTTTATCGTACAACAATTAGGCCGGTATTAATGTATGGCGTAGAGTGTTGGGCGGTGAAGCAATGCCACATCCAAAAGATGAGTGTGACAGAGATGCGTATGTTGCGTTGGATGTGTGGACATACCAGAAAAGACCGCCTGAGTAATGAGGTAATCAGACAAAAGGTGGGAGTAGCACCTATAGAAGATAAGATGCAGGAGTCTCGTTTGCGGTGGTTTGGGCATGTGCATAGAAGACCGAGTGATGCACCTGTTAGACGACTTGAGGTGTGGGGAGAAGAGTCAGATAAGAGAGGGAGGGGAAGACCCAAACAGACTTGGATTAGAGTAATCAGAACCGATATGTGTCTTCTTGGGTTGGATGAGAGTATGGCTTTGGAGAGAGCAAAGTGGAGGGCGCACATCCATGTGGACGATTGATGTCTTGTCTACCTTTCCCCTCTTGTTTCTTTTATCGTTTATCTTCCTTATCTTTTTATATTCTTATGTTATTTTTATCTTCTAGCTTTTTTATGCTCTTTTATCTTGGTTATATTCTTGTGTTATTGTTATCTTATATTTATGTATCTTTATTTTATTCATTTTATCTTACTTTTTTTTTCCTTTTCTTGTCCGCCTTCTCTTTTTGGCATCGATATCATAGATCGATTCATGTTAGTCGACCCCAAATTCTTTTGGGATTAAGGCTTGGATGTTGTGTAGAGGGTGCCGGAGTTCTAAAAAGAAAATAAAACAAGAGTTGCAAAACTAATAAAACTCATAGCAGAAAGATGAATGGAACTAGAATAGGAAGCACAAACTTTCTCTTCATGTCTAGCCACTTTCGGTCCTTGGCTGTTGGCTGTTCGGCTTTTGGGCCCCTTCGGCGTGGCCGCGTGGGTTATGCATGCTGCCCCCAAAAGAAGTCCACAGCACATCATATTTATCAACACTATGTCTGATAGGAATCACAATATCACAGTAGAAAAATAGAATATTATTGATGAAGCTTTCAGAGATTGAACTGGATTACCATGGCTTAGACAGAAAATTAGAGAAGAACCGATAGTTGAGACTGTTCGAGTTGTCTCACACTCCCAAGCCTAATCCCAGATCCCAAATTTCTGCCTCCCCATCTCCTCACCACTCTCACTTATTTATTCTATTTCTAATGGGCCAGTCAAGGCCAACTACTACCAGGCCCAGGACCCTCTATTACACTATCACACTTAATTATTATTATTCTCGTAAGCCCATTATCTTAACATATCTCCCCCGTTGGACAACCACCTTGTCCTCGAGGTGGGTGATATTAAACAGCCTTGATCTTTAGGTTCACCTTCATTCTTGCGCCTCTCCCTTCCCAGTACTTCACTGCTTTCTGGACCCATAGCTTCCTGATTTGAACCTTCATCATCACTCCTTCAATAGCCAGAAAGAGCATAGCAAGAAAGAGCAGAGGCAAGGACTTTGTTGCATCCTGCTCCACAATGTTGCAGAGGTAAAGATCTTCTAGCAACTGCATCTCTGGCCCAACTTCCCACCACTTTATGCTGTATTTCCTGAATTTTTTCTCTGCAGCTTCAGCAACTGTCCCTTCGAGCAAAGCATGAGTTGAAAGTGAGCTGGCATCGGTCTCAACATTTTCTGCCCCTTCCGGATTATCTGGTGGACGTCCTGTGGGTTGAATATCGTCATCGTTCATCTCCCTAAACGTGTAATGAATGCCATAAATAGCAGAGAATGTGGGTAGGTTTGACTTCCTTTTTAATATAGAAGATAAGTGTTTGTTCTCCAGCTCCCATACCATAGGGCCTTCCATGTTGTTCCCTCCAACTGCTTTCAGCATACCATCTGTGGTCCCCATAGTTAAGAACTGTTGAATAGGGTCAAAATGATTCCAGTACATCACACCACCACCAAAGTGCTGATTATAATCCATACCAAGACAACCAGAGACCTCTAATTCGTCTTCTGTGATATGATAGTGGTGCAGTACTTTTTCAGCATCACTATTGTTAGCTACTTTCATAAGATCAGAATTATAGCAGTGAACATAGCTCAAACTATCAAACCCCTCAGAGGAATTATTTTGATTTTGCATTTCAATTTCGTCCTCCTTTTTCTCAGACTTTGATTCATCCTCTTCCATTTCCTCAGTTTCCTCTACACAGACAGTCTCTGTAGAGCTTTCCCAAGTATTTGAAACAACAATTTATCAACAGCAGATTCATATTCCCTGGCAACCAAGGATTGCATCATCACAGAGGATTTTTCCTCTCGTCCCTCATTACAGTAGATGAACGTACCCTTCAGAGAGAGTTTTCTGCGGATTGCCTGACTCTTGTGACACGTACAGCAACGGCGACGTGGAGGCTTCTCCTTCCAATCGCATCGTACCTTGAAGTGAACTGCTAGGGTAGGATGAAGTCTGCGAACTGATGGTGTCTCCTCTGTCTGGAGTGATACTAGGGTTCGCATAGGGATTTCGCAGCGATTTGGAGTCTCCTTCTGATAGCCTCACACTTTAATTCGAGATGATAGTAGATGAAGAGACCAGCGAACAAGGGAGATCTATTTGCGACAAAACTTGTTGACTGGAAGATGCTGTTCACGACAAAGCTGAAGAGGCTTGCGAAGACATCTGCGGACCGGTAGAATCAGCTAGCGACTGTGAAGAGACCTGCGCTAGCGAAGGTGTCTGCGAACTACGCGAAGCAGTTCGCGATTGCGAACTAGGAGGAGCGACGGACGGAAACACCTGATTTTCGATTGGCCGACGGTGTCTAGGTGGACTCCTAGCTCTGTCTCTATGTCGCCTCTGACGGTGACGAAGTTTGCGCAGCATATAGCGCAACCCCTTCCACTGACTGTCGCTATTGTCCATCTTCTTCTTCAACTGTCATTGAAACTGACGATCGATTCAGGCTCCAGGAAGGATGCTCTGATACCAATGATAGGAATCACATTATCACAGTAGAAAAATAGAATATTATTGATGAAGCTTTCAGAGATTGAACTGGATTACCATGGCTTAGACAGAAAAATAGAGAAGAACCGATAGTTTGAGACTGTTCGAGTCGTCTCACACTCCCAAGCCTAATCCCAGATCCCAAATTTCTGCCTCCCCATCTCCTCACCACTCTCACTTATTTATTCTATTTCTAATGGGCCAGTCAAGGCCAACTACTACCAGGCCCAGGACCCTCTATTACACTATCACACTTAATTATTATTATTATTCTCGTAAGCCCATTATCCTAACAATGTCCTCCAAATCCTTCCCCTCCAAAACCTTCCATCCCACCTAGATAAATGTTTGTGAAAAACAGAATGATGAAAATCCTAGAAACAACCTCACCTCTCTGAATGCAAATGTAACTTTACATACTTGTTCTTCTTGTAGACATTGTTTGATGTAAGAGCCTTGTGCTTTGGAACTGAGACACTACCTTTAGAATTTGCATCAAATCCCAGTTTTTGTTTGTCTGTTATAAAGAGTTTTACTCGTAAATGTGTATATTAATAAATGTAATTCTTTACTTGATAGGTAGTAGCATCCGGAATTGATGAACGCACCCTTAAGCGTGAAGGAGTATGTGCTGCCTCTTTGCCAACAACCATGGTATGGAGTTTTCCTGTATCTCTCTTAACTTGTTCAATTTGGCTGACTGAAGTTTTGAACTGTTTTCTGGAAGGTGGTTCGAGAAAAGGGGTGATAGGAAAAATATATTTTAGTTGCTGGAGCACAGAAGTACGAGGTGTTCCCGAGTAGCTTGCGGCTTGAACTTGGATAATGCCTATAATTAGTAGACTCAGGACCAACTTGCCTCAATATGGAATTCACACTTAATAGGAACCAAGATAGATAATATAAATTAAATGATGAGCCTGGACTTTTACCTTTTTCATAAAGTTCACCATTTCGCCAACGAGCAGCTTAATCCGATGTATGACTTGTATATTTAGCTTGTTTTATTTTATTAGGAATGATATAAATTTGAATGAGAAACTCAATGAACATCTCGACAAGGCTCACCAGTAGACGTTCTTAATATGCTCTTCAGTACTTCTGCCAGCTCTCTTCTCGGCTCTATAACATTTCATCTTAATGGATTTTGCTAGGGAGTCATTGCTGGACTCTTGGTTCAGAACACACTGAAGTACTTGTTAAAGTTTGGACAGGTGTCCCCATATCTGGTAATCCTCTAACCTATCAACTTTTTCTTGCATACACCTACACCTGAACTTCCTGTGTGATTGGTTGCTTTGACCATTTCCTTGCTTACATTTCGGTCGGTTTTGGATGTTGAAGTTCGATTGAAGTGAACTTTATGACTACAAGTGTTTATGTTTCTTTCCTAAAGGTTCGTTTGGAACCTGGAAATGCTACCGAAGGAAAATAGAGGGAGGGAATTAGAAGGAAATAATATTAGAGGGAAAAAGTGATTGAAACTCTAAATCTATTTTACTACATATTTTTCACCCATTGTATGTATTTAGTTCTATTATCGGTTACTCAAACACTAAGAAAGTTCAAACTCCAAATATACACAAAAGTTTAGGAAAAAGCACTCATGCTTCATTTTCCTAAGGTAAAATCAAACTTTCCTCTGCAATTTCATTCCTTTCACTACCAGGGATACAATGCCCTGAAAGATTATTTTCCAACAATGGAGATGAAACCAAATGTTCAGTGCTCAAATGCAGCTTGCTTGGAGCGACAAGTAAGTATCTCTTCGACCTCTGGTTATCGGGAAAGCACATAGTAGTATGGTTTCCATATATACCTGTGTGTGGGGGGGGGGGGGGGGGGGAGAAGTATACTGTAGAAGAAAACTTATATCTTCATTTCTTTGCAATTCCGTGAAAATATTTTTTTTATATCTGAAATAGTTTTACTTTTTCTGTTTTTGTTGTTTTTGTTGTTGGTATCACACAAAAAAATGGTGGATCATACAATCAATAATCACTTATTTTCCTTATAGTTGCTTTCCACTTAAAATATTTGTTCACAACAGTTTGGTTTCTAGCAAAGTAGCAAAAAAGAGAGTAGTCTACAAGTCATTCAGCCTCGTTTGGATAATTGGCTAAATTGTATTTTAAAACGCAGAGGGAGTTCATTCTTGCTAAGCCTGCCAGGGATGCTGCTACAAAAGCAATGATGGAGGAGGAAGCATCAAAAGTAGCAGACTGCCCCCCCATTCATGCTGATAATGAATGGAACATAAGGTAATGCTTGAAAACTATTATTTCCCTCCCCAGTTTGTTGGATGGAGAAATCTAGGAACTATGTTCATTTAGGTGCATTTGGTTTGATGGGAGGTGACGAGAGGGGAGTTCCTCCAATTTTGGACAAAGAAAAAATCAAGGGGGGGAGAAGAAAACTTAGCTCCAGTCCCCTCAGATTTTTAAATCTAGAATGTACCATGGAAAGTTTTTTTCATGAAATCATTGAAGATAAATTTTAAGCAAGATTATTGATATGTATATATGATCTGTTACAGTGTACAGGGTGACAGTGAGCTAGATACTGCAAAAGCCCAAAGTTCAGGTAACTCTTTACAAATTGATCAGCATAAGACTATTATATTTGACTTTGTTTTTATTTGTGCATGTCTATGGAGTGATTGGTACTCATTTTCTCAATTGGTCTTTTCTTTAGGTCTTCTCCCAGAAGGCCTTGTTCATGAGCTGCCATCTGCAGATGAATTTCGTACAGATCCTGCTTCGGAGACCACTTGCACCGGTGATGACCTTGACGAACTTAGAAAGCAACTTGATGCTCTCAATGCCAACAACTAATCTCACACTCAGCTTCTGCGAGTTTTGAAAGGTTCTAAAAGCCCCTTTTCATTTGATTTCATGTATACACTTCTTGGGTATTGAGGAAGTAGAAAGACAAGGGAGGAACATAACTTCCATTCTTCTTGGGTATTGAGGAAGTAGAAAGACAAGGGAGGAACATAACTTCCCTTTGTTAGTGACTTGTCGTTTGGCAAGGAAAGAACTGGACTGAATATTCAAAAGCATGTGTTGATTCTTTGCCTTTTATCTTAATCAGACTAAAGAAAAAAATTTCAACGGTCCTGAATGTTATCTATTACCCCGTTCTATTGGACATTGTCAACTTTGTGTTTAGTGTGAAACAAGAAATGTAAAAAATGTGTGGTGAGAGTTTGTTAACATGAGAGATAAATAAACTGAACCACAAATTCATTACTAAAATAGTGGGAAAACTTTTGGGACAAAAGAAAGAAAGTTAACAAAGTTCACTAGGATAGATGAAGTATTAGTAGTAGTATTTTCGTTTTTACTTTTAAACCTGAAGTTCCAACAGGTTTTGCAGTCAGTAAAATATACTCCTTATGAAATGACAACTGTAGATTTCCTCTAAGAACACTCGCTTGCACTCATCATCGCACAAAAAGGATATTGTGAAATTATTAGCTAAAAATATTCCAAATTATCATCAAATCCACAAATTTATCTCATACTTCCACTTTTATTAAAAAACATTCAAACTTTAACTTTTCTTACAATTACACTTGCATTGGATGAATGAGTAAAACTTAAGAAGAAAATCATATTTATATTTCATATTCTTTCACTTCTTTCTAGTTTTAAGTTTACAAATTTGTATTGCTTATGTCTTATTGCATTGATAAAAATGGATAATTTTGAAAAAACAAGAAACAAAAACATGATTCTTGAAAAAGATGAAGTTTGAGTCTTTTTTTTAATAAAAGTGAAAGAATAAAATAAATTTGTGAATTTGATGATAGTTTGGAATGAAATAAGAAAATAATCCAATTCATAATTGGAAACTGATGATATAAAACTTTATTTTTGAAGGGAAAATTATTAAGTATTATTAATCAGATCATAGTTCAAAGAGGAAGCAATACAAGGAGGCTACAAAGCATCGACACTTCAACTCGATGTCGTATCCGCGTATCCGATGCGTACTATGCAAGTCTGACCTGGTCCGGTGAGCCAGGATCGGACCAGGCATGGGGCCCAACTTGGGGAATCCATAGATGGGCTACGGGCTTCAAAAAAGGTGAACCGGCCCGGCTGGGCTTGGTCCAGGCCTTTTTTTTTTTAAAATTTTTCTCATTGGGCTGGCTACTAGGTGACTAAGTGGGTGGGGTTGGGCGGTTTGGGGGGGTTGGGGGGTTGGGGGGTGGGGGTTGGGCGGTTTGGGGGGGGGGAGTTGGAGGGTGGGGGATGGAATTAAATCGAAAAGACAAAATTTTAAAAAAAATATTTAAGGCCCGACCCGTTTTCGGTACAAACTCGGGCTAGTGCCGGGCCTGATGTGTTTGGGCCTAGAGGCTGCCCAGTCCTGGCCCAGATCCGCCTCGGATCTGGCCCTGTCCAACCTTATATCAAATACCGATATTCATCGATACACGCATTTTGCATATTGGGTTCGTATCCATAATTTTATAAAATTACCGCACTTGTTTTTTAAAATGCAAATATTTCTGTACATACGCGTATCTAACTCTATAACACTGATTTCAAACATGACCTGACCAGAATAGAGTGGCCATAACTCCTCGCTCATCAATCCTCATTCTTCAACTTCATCTCTTACCGACTAAACCGGTAACATATCTTCTTCTTTTCTCATACACTTGATGAGTTTCAATCCACTTCACCTTTAAATCAATTAGATTCTCACCCGTGCGATGCACAGATCAAAATTAAACAACAATTATATTTTATTATTTGTAACATTATTAATAAAAGAAAGTTTATATATAATTCGAATATGTAAATGTAGTAAAAGAATAATAAAAGTAAATCTAGAAGTTATAATGTAAGAGCGGGTGCGGATAAAATTTTGAAAAAAGAATAAAGCGAGAACTATCAAATAAGCCCTCGAACTTTCATAAAAAGTGAAAATAAGCCCTTTTATAGGAGGCTTTGTTCGGCCGTCGTCATTTGGGGTGGTTTTCGGTGGACTTTTTTGATGAATTTTTTTGAGTATCTTCTTCATTAAGTCTGGTTTAGTCATACCAAATTTCAGCTAAAAATTCAATTGGGAAGGCAGTCAAATGAATTTTTGAAGATAAGTGCGCAGTTAGACAACGCAATATATTTCAGAAAATCATTTGACTACCTTCTCGATTGAATTTTTAGCTGTAATTTGGTATGGGTAAACTAGCCTTAATGAAGAAGATGCTCAAAAAATTTCATCGAAAAAATTCACCGAAACCCACCCCAAATGGCGAAAGCCGGACAAAGTCTCCCGTAAAAGGACTTATTTGCACTTTTTATGAAAGTTCGAGAGCTTATTTGATAGGTCTCCCAAGAATAAATATATAGGGAAAACTGTCAATTACACCCTCGTACTATGGGCGAATCCTCAATTGAGTCCTCCTACTTCGACAACCTTCAATTGAATCCGCCAAGTCTCCAAAATCAATCAATTAGGTCTACATTACCGGTTGGTTCCCGGTTTGCCGGTTGCTTGCCTTCAATTGATTTTTTTTTTAATTTTTTTTCTTCTCTTTTCTTTTTTCTCTTCCTCTTCTCTTTTCTCTTTCTTTCGTTCTCTTTTTTTTTTCAAAGCACGCCGTCTCCACAGAGAACACCACCATGAGCAGAACCAGAAGCTCGTCCTCTTCCAGATCGAGCTCCAGGAGGGAGAAGAAGGCCGCCGTCGCCGCCACCACAGCCCCCGCCGTGCAACGGCCGGCTCAAGAAGAAGCTGCTCCTCCAACCCATGACCCCACCAACCCATGACCCCACCAAGCTGCCCCCGCCGTCGCCGCCACCACAGCTCCCGCCATCTTCTTCCCCTCAAGCTTCAAAGTCCAATCTTTTCAGTTCGCTAAACCCTAGAACCGAACGCGGCGGAACCCCAACCGAATCCGCATTTCAATTCCCCTTCTCCGTTCTCAAAAGCACCGTCGTTACCACCGTAACTGCAGCGGCGCTTTTGTTTGGCAGGTTATGGGTCCAGCTAAAGCCGGCCCTTGCTTCCCCTGTCCTAACCACGGCCGCCGTGGAGTCTGCAGTCTTAAGCGAGGAAAAGGAGAGGAAGAACGAAAGAAAGAGAAAAGAGAAGAGGAAGAGAAAAAGAAAAAAGAAAAGAGAAGAAAAAAAATCAAAAAAAAAAATCAATTGAAGGCAAGCAACCGGCAAACCGGGAACCAACCGGTAATGTAGACCTAATTGATTGATTTTGGAGACTTGGCGGATTCAATTGAAGGTTGTCGAAGTAGGAGGACTCAATTGAGGATTCGCCCATAGTACGAGGGTGTAATTGACAGTTTTCCCAAATATATATTACAGTGTGCTTGCATCAGTCTAGACATGTATATGGAGTTGTTGGTAACAGACACCACGCAGACACCATAAATAGTGTGCAATGTACTACTATACACACACACACACTAACTATCACATCTAAAAAAATATAGATTCAGAGTTCAAATTGCATAGGGATTTAAGGAGGTTTTTACTTAAAAAGAATCTTTAAAGACTTGAGAATCTTTCATGAGTTTTACCTTGTGTCTGGACAGTCCCTTGCTTGCTGGACTCCCATTTCAATGGCCAGAGTCGTAACTCTTGCTTGAACTGCCCATTGGCTTTCGTGGACTTCTTGAGAGCCTCTTGACTATTTCCAAACAACAAATTGACTAATCATTATGAAGCTTATAGGTATGACATCATAGAAATTTCCTATATTTAAAATATTTTCTCCCCTTTTTTGTTTTAAAATTACAAATCAATATCCAAGCCACTTGAACTGCCTCTTTAGTATAAATTGATTCTTCAGTTTCGAATTTTGCTAAACTGCCTCTTAAAGAATCAGAAAAATAAAAGCTCTTTAGCCTCTAAAAATTAATTTAAATAAGTATATCATATACTCTGTATTTGAAAAAACATAAGCTCCTTGGTCTATTAAAAAGTTCTTCGAAATCGTCTTTCGTCTCATACTGCTTATTTTAGAAAGAAGTCCACCTTTCAAAAATGTTTAAAAGCTGCCTCAACAACAGTAACTTGTGATAAAATGATATGAATAGACAAAATACTAAATGAAGAATAAAAGAATCAGAAAACATATATTTATAAACGCAGTCTATAACTTATAAGAAGAATAAAAAAGAATGAGAAGTGGCAGAAGTTAGCATATTAAGGGCCTGTTTGGTAGCACTAAAAGCGGTTGATTTGACAGATTCTGCTGAAATTTATGAAGTTCTGGCTGAAGTGGCTGCATTCGCTGATTCTGCTGTTTTAAGAAAAAATATTTTAAAAATATATTTTATTAATAAAATAAAGAAAAAAATATATGTAAAAATAGCCAAAATGGTCATCTACCGTAACTTCAGCCAATACAGCCAGAAAAGTAACTCCAACCTTAATTTTTCTGCTTATTACACGATTCAGCGCGCGAAAGAAAAAATTACATGTTTGGTGAAAAAATTGGCTGATAAGCCGAAAAACAGTGTTGCCAAACGACCTCTAAGAGTCCGTTTGGTGACACTGTTTTTTGGCTTATCAGGTTTAGCAACCAACTTTTTCACCAAACTAAGCCAATCTCCGTAACACGGTTGATTTAGTAAACCTGAAGAGTATGCACCTGAGTGAAAGATGTATATCTTTGTTTCTATTAATAACTTGGACTTGAGTCCTGAAGAAGAATTGTGTATATTTACAATAGGAACCTAACACAACTCGTATTTCAGCATGCCCTTAATGTATTCAAAATTTAAGTCAATCTCCGTAACACGATTGATTTAGTAAACCTGAAGAGTATGCACCTGAGTGAAAGACATATATCTTTGTTTCTATTAAAAATTTGGACTTGATTCCTAAAGAAGAATTGTGTATATTTACGATAGGAACCCAACACAACTCGTATTTCAGTATTCCCATAATGTATTCAAAATTTAAGCCAATCTCCGTAACACGGTTGATTTAGTAAACCTGAAGAGTATGCACCTGAGTGAAAGACGTATATCTTTGTTTCTATTAATAACTTGGACTCTACTCCTGAAGAAGAATTGTGTATATATACGATAGGAACCCAACGCAACTTGTATTTCAGCATGCCCTTAATCTATTCAATATTTAAGCCAATCTCCGTAACACTGTTGATTTAGTAAACCTGAAGAGTATGCACCTTAGTGAAAGAAGTATATCTTTGTTTCTATTAATAATTTGGACTTGATTCCTGAAGAAGAATTGTGTATATTTACGATAGGAACCCAACACAACTCGTATTTCAGTATTCCCATAATGTATTCAAAATTTAAGCCAATCTCCGTAACACGGCTGATTTAGTAAACCTGAAGAGTATGCACCTGAGTGAAAGACGTATATCTTCGTTTCTATTAATAATTTGTACTTCAGTCCTGAAGAAGAATTGTGTATATTTATGATAGGAACCCAACGCAACTCAAATTTCAGTATGCCCATAAAGTATTCAAAATTTAATCCAATCTCCGTAACACGGTTGATTTAGTAAACCTGAAGAGTATGCACCTGAGTGAAAGACGTATATCGTTGTTTCTATTAATAATTTGGAGATTTCTTAAAAAGAATTGTGTATATTTATGATAGGAACCCAACAAAACTCAGATTTCAGTATGCCCATAAAGTATTCAAAATTTAAGCCAATCTCCGTAACACGGTTGATTTAGTAAACCTGAAGAGTAAGCACCTGAGTGAAAGACTTATATGTTTGTGTCTATTAATAATTTGGACTTGATTCCTGAAGAATAATTGTGTATATTTACGATAGGAACCCAACGCAACTCGTATTTCAGTATGCTCATAAAGTATTCAAAATTTAAGCCAATCTCCATAACACGGTTTATTTAGTAACCTGAAGAGTATGCACCTGAGTGAAAGACATATATCTTTGTTTATATTAATAATTTGGACTTGAGTCCTGAAGAAGAATTGTGTATATTTACGATAGGAACCTAACACAACTCGTATTTTAGCATGCCCTTAATGTATTAAAAATTTAAGCCAATCTCCGTAACACGGTTGATTTAGTAAACCTGAAGAGTATGCATCTGAGTGAAAGACATATATCTTTGTTTCTATTAATAATTTGGACTTGATTCCTGAAGAACAATTGTGTATATTTATGATAGGAACCCAACGCAACTCGTATTTCAGTTTTCCCATAATATATTAAAAATTGAAGCCAATCTCCGTAACACGGTTGATTTAATAAACCTCAAAAGTATGCACCTGAGTGAAAGACGTATATCTTTGTTTCTATTAATAATTTGGACTTGAGTCCTGAAGAAGAATTGTGTATATTTACGATAGAAACCCAACACAACTTGTATTTCAGAATGCCCATAATGTATTCAAAATTTAAGCCAATCTCCGTAACACGGTTGATTTAGTAAACCTGAAGAGTATGCACCTGAGTTAAAGACGTATATCTTTGTTTCTATTAATAATTTGGACTTGATTCCTGAAGAAGAATTGTGTATATTTACGATAGGAACCCAACCCAACTCGTATTTCAGTATTCTCATAATCTATTCAAAGTTTAAGCTAATCTTCGTAACACGGTTGATTTAGTAAACCTGAAGAGTAAGCACCTGATTGAAAGACGTATATCTTTGTTTCTATTAATAACTTGGACTTGAGTCGTGAAGAAAAATTGTGTATATTTACGATAGGAACTCAACACAACTCGTATTTCAGCATGCCCCTAATGTATTCAAAATTTAAGCCAATCTCCATAACACGGTTGATTTAGTAAACCTAAAGAGTATGCACCTGAGTGAAAGACGTATATCTTTATTTCTATTAATAATTTGGACTTGATTCCCGAAGAATAATTGTGTATATTTACGATAGGAACCCAATTCAACTCGTAATTCAGTATGCCCATAAAGTATTCAAAATTTAACCCAATCTCCGTAACACGGTTGATTTAGTAAACCTGAAGAGTATGCACCTGAGTGAAAGATGTATATCTTTGTTTCTATTAATAATTTGGACTTGACTCCTGAAGAATAATTGTGTATATTTATGATAGGAACCCAACGCAACTCGTATTTCAGTATGCCCATAAAGTATTCAAAATTTATGCCAATCTTCGTAACACGGTTGATTTAGTAACCTGAAGAGTATGCACCTGAGTGAAAGACGTATATAATTGTTTCTATTAATAATTTGGACTTGAGTCCTGAAGAAGAATTGTGTATATTTACGATAGGAACCCAATGCAACTCGTATTTCAGCATGCCCTTAATGTATTCAAAATTTAAGCCAATCTACGTAACACAGTTGAATTAGTAAACCTGAAGAGTATGCACCTGAGTGAAAGACATATATCTTTGTTTCTATTAATAATTTGGACTTTATTTCTGAAGAAGAATTGTGTATAATTACGATTGGAACCCAACGTAACTCGTATTTCAGTATTCCCATAATGTATTCAAAATTTAAGCCAATCTCCGTAACACGGTTGATTTAGTAAACCTGAAGAGTATGCACCTGAGTGAAAGACGAATATCTTTGTTTCTATTATTAATTTGGACTTGATTCCTGAAGAAGAATTGTGTATTTTTACGCTAGGAACCCAACACAACTTGTATTTAAGTATTCCCATAATCTATTCAAAATTTAAGCCAATCTCTGTAACACGGTTGATTTAGTAAACCTGAAGAGTATGCACCTGAGTGAAAGACGTATATCTTCGTTTCTATTAATAATTTGGACTTGAGTCCTGAAGAAGAATTGGGTATATTTACGATAGAAACCCAACGCAACTTATATTTCAGAATGCCCATAATGTATTCAAAATTTAAGCCAATCTCCGTAACACGGTTGATTTAGTAAACCTGAAGAGTATGCACCTGAGTAAAAGACGTATATCTTTGTTTCTATTAATAAGTTGGACTTGATTCCTGAAGAAGAATTATGTATATTTACGATAGGAACCCAACACAACTCGTATTTCAGTATTCCCATAATCTATTCAAAATTTAAGCCAATCTTCGTAACACGATTGATTTAGTAAACCTGAAGAGTAAGCACCTGAGTGAAAGACGTATATCT